GTTCTAATCTTGAGCAAGCAGCATCTACTGTGAGTAGGACTGTAAGTTCAAACCACAGTATTGGCACTTGATAGCAAGAAAGAAAAGGAGGAAAGTAAAAAGAGAGATTAATATTTGGATTAGAAAAAGATTTCAGCAAATTTTGGAGGAGAAAGCAAATATGTTGGCTTATTGAGCACGAATTTATATTGTTGGGTGGAAATTTATAAAAAAAATTATAAATAAATTATAAAAAATTATGAAACATTTGATATTTGATCAAATAATTATTTTGTCCCTTATTATCCAGAACTATTAATATTATTATACCATCCCTTTGAAAACCTATTATGATTCATATACTTAACATATGCGATCTCATTCTCAAGAATTTTATAAAATTGTGGAATTTTTGGCTAAAATTTATTACTTAGAATATGTGCGTGCTATGTGGTTCATATGAATTCTCTAATTGTCACCTCACTATAAACATGTGAGGCAAGTACTCTTGTTAGTACCATACTATGTATGAAGAAGAAATAGAGATATTTTTTAGGAGATTGAGAATGTTTACCACATCTATAGACTTTGTAAATATTGGAACACAGATTGAAGTTTGTATCTTTTTTCTTTTCTGGAGTCCACATTCTTGCCTACTGAGTATCTGGGAGAATACATGGAAGATTCAAGAATATAAAGCAGTGAAGCATCATGACATATTTACTCTAAGAAACACCCTAATTGGAAAGAAGGATAAGGACAAAGTAATAGGAGGAGGAAAGCCAGTAAGCACAAGGGTACATGTGTATATATATGCATGACATCTATGTATACATATATGTATGCATCCATGTTGATTTTTCTGGAGTGTCCATGGTGGTTGGATCTCTATGCAGTAAGGTAACCTGAGACAAAATGATCTCAATGAGGATTTATAAACTAGGAATGACAGGGGGGTTGGGTCCAGGGAAGATTGCATTCTATTAATAATCTAGATCTTTGAGAACACCTGGTTTTATGCACCTAACCAATTCCACTTAACAGTTCATTAAATCACCTGTTTATTTGTGATAGGCCCTGTATAATATGATGTATCCACAGATATAAGTATCATGGTTTGTGTCGTACTCTGGAAATGACAAGAAGCCATGATAATTTGAAATTGATTTTCTTGGGTGTCATATTCTTCCCAAGTCTAGTGGTAATGCTATATTCTCAAGTAATAATGATAGGAGACATATCTTTTATTTAATATTTGCTTCATAACAGGGGCAGGATTAGTAGAACATCATATCCTATGTGTACAAATCATAATAAATAGATCTAAAATTGCTATATAGAACAAGTGATAAAGACCAAAGCAGATTTAAAATGTGGTAATAGTAGGGTTGTGGCTCTAGTCTACATTTGTATTTCATATGCACATGTATAAATTTTGGGTCCTCTTTGAAATATATGAGTTTTTTGAGAATGAGGATATGTCTTTAAAAATCTTTACTTTCTCAGTGTCTGTCACTATTCTTGGCACCTCATAGATGTTCAATAATTGCTCATTGTGCAGAGATGGGTTACAGTTAAGATGTCAATGCTTTGCTACCTGTTTCTGCACTTGTTAAAATATATAACATGAGAAGGTATAAATATTAATTCTTCAAGTTTAGTATGTTCTTAGCATTCGTGAAATTATAAAAAAAAGTGGTAAAGAAGCAAAAATAAAATGCAATGAAACCATTAAGATTCCAATTAAAGAAGATTAAGACATGGAATAATTCACATGAGTTATTCATGAAAAAAACTCCTTTTCAGGGATAAAAATACATCTCAAAATCAAATTATGTCATCATTGAGGCAGGTGGTTACTATAGCAGCAAAGAAAAAAGCGACAGTAAAATTAACTAAAGGCTCTCAAAGATAAAAATATGTAAAGTAGTCAAGATTCGTGAATTAGAACATTAGATAAAATGTCTGAATGTAGATGTGCTGTGGGTCATTCTCAGCTTGAATGCCATATAATCCCAAGAGCCTACATGTCCAGAAAAGTGCTAGACAATATGTAGCACTAATTGGATTTCTTTGACCACTGTTGATGCTACCAGCTGTCCTCACACAACCGTCAGGTTCAGTATAAATCAATTCTCAAAGAAAAACATTTTTTCCAGAACCAAACATTTCATTTATTTTATTGAAACTTCAAGTCTACAAGTCCTCTCACTTTTCCAGGGTCTTTGGGTAAAGAAGAGATTGTAAATGATGAAACAAGAACTTCATCTATGCCTCTGGAAGATCTAAAACTCCCAGGAGCACAAAACATTACCAGGGTAGAGAAATATCCCAGGGAGAATTTTTATCTTGACTAATCAATATACAATATGTGTGTGTGTGTGTGTGTGGTGTGTGTGTGTGTGAATTCTTTTCAGAAAAATGACCTTTGTTAACTGAAACTTGTATAGTAAAAAACTGGGATTAGAATGACACCAGCACAACAAACTCACTCAACAACAGCTCCTCTGTAATTCTCCTTCACAAACACATATCCAGATCTCAGAGCACAGTTCTAGTTTTACTGAATGAAAAAGATGTGTAAGATTATGTTTCAGGGTGAGTGGCTATAGAGACTCCTTGGTTCTTGGATCACTCTGTAAGCAGCCATGATCTAAATAAATGTGGAAAAAATATTGGAAGAATACCTCATCTGGTGGTTTGAAAAGGCACTAAATGTTCATGAATGTCATAGCCCAGATTTACGTATTTCCAGTTAAAATGGAAGTGTTCTTAAATTTTTTTATCTCGTCCTTTCCATCAAAATCTCTTTCAAGAAAAGTTTTAGCATGTCCTGTCATAGAGATAATAGGTACCACATAGCCCCTGCTGTCTTGCTGATGAGAGCACAGACCCTGGAGTCTCTCAAGTGTTCATCAGTTAATGTTGAAATGCTGCCTTGCCTATGCTAAGTGTCTTTAACTTTTCTATGATTTCACCAAAACCTCTTGTAGACATAGTTGTTTTCATTTAAACACAGACTAGATGGTACCATCTATTCTTATAAAGAACTCCTGGATAGTGCTGAATAGGGTAAATGGCATTATTTTCTTTGATTGAGAACTATCCATGCAAGGAATACATGTGAACCTAAGATACTTCATCCAGCTGACCAGGAAATGTTGTAACAGCAATGAGAATATGCAAGTATCTTAGAATCACTGTATAATGATTTTAGAAATATAAAGCCAAGTGGGCAGGCTCTCTTTTAAGTGCTTCCTAAACAGAATGTCATTCACCGTGGATCTTTATTTGTTATCAAAAGCTTATTTTTTATTTCTCTTTAGAGTTCTTTTTTTTTCTGTTTCTTTCCCTAGTCTGAAATGCTTTAATGTGAGGGAGTTCATTCTAGGAAACCGGTGAAGCAAACAAAAGACTCATGGAGCCATACTGAGCAAATGAAATCACATCTATTAATTCAGTCTTCCCCCACTTCCCTCCTTCTATCAACTAGAGAAAGTTACAAGAAATAAAAACAAAATGCAGATGGAAGCCTACTCATACAGAGGGAGTGTGAGGGTTCTTTTCTTTCTTTCTTTCATCCTTCCTTTTACATGCAGCAAACAAAATCCTCCATAAAGCTTCAAAAGCTCTCTGACATCATCAGTCCTTGACTGAGAGTCATTAAGTTGCTAAAGCCCAGAAAATCAAATTGTGTTTAGGACTTTTTGATAATCTAGTAACAGAGTAAAAGGTGATTCACCAATTAGCCCATGTAATTGGGTAATAAAAAACATGTTCTGTGTGAGCAGTGGGTACACAGTAGTCATTGCCATTCTTCATTGTTTTCTGATTATAACTACTTATGTTTGCCCCTGATCCCAGGTCCAGATGCCTCATGAAAGAGAATTCACAAATATCTGTGTTTCTGAATCAGATAGGTGAATCAATCCCTTACTTAAGCAGTTCATTTATATTAGCCTTTTATCCTATGTCAGTTCCCTCTTGTCAGGGTCTGTATTGGGTAAAGGCTCAGGCTCTCTGGTCCTTGCTTCCATAGAGCTCCTGTAAGTTGTTCTCTGTTTCAGTTCTCTTAAGATGAAAAAGCAAACTAAAGTGAGAATCTTACAGAAATTACAGTTTTATACTAAAATGATTGTCTCCTTAGCTGATTCTCAAATTCTAACAATATTGTCAGGACATGTATTAAACAAAGGAAGAATTCAATTTGAGAACTGTCTTGCTCAGAGATTCTTCTTGCCTGGTTAAGAAGAAATTTGTGAAAGAATAGAGACTGAATATTTGATAGATTCTTTAAAAGTCACTCTTCATAATTTTCTATGCCCATCTTTTGAAATCTAAGGTGACTGGCTCTGCTTAAAATACATGTATTTTTCTCAGTAAATTCAAATTGATTTAAGGCTTGGTTGAGAGTTTAAAACAGTTGCTCAGTAGAAAATCCAAACCATGTTCCACTTTTGTTTTTTCTTATTGCCACTAAAGTATATGGGCACTGTTTTATGGCCCAGGGCCTTCTCATTAATATAATAAAAGAATAATGAAAATAAATTACCTGAACTTAAGCCAATAAGGAAAATACATCTTAGCTGACACAGTCCTTAATGCTGTTTTACTACTCTGAATGATATATACCTGTGCTGATTTTATCATTGACTTTTAAGGTCATATTTTAGTGTTATTTATGAATTTAAAAAGACATTAGTAAACAATTTCCCTTGCCCCTAGATGATTTGTTTCTTTCAAACTCATGATACATATTTTATATTATTTTTCCTCTCTGTAAACCATAAATAAAATTCTAAACTATGTAACAGCCTTTGTCCATTTTGTTTTAGTCATATATTTCAGAAGACCTTAGATTATATTTCATTTAGACAAGAACATAATAATCATAAAAAATAAGAAAATGTGGTTGATTTATGGCCAGAATAAAACTTTAACTCTGAAACCTTTTTAATATACAGCATTTCCTCCTCCATATGTATTTAATACATATTAATATTTTTCTCTCTTATTTGCAGGTCAATGGGACAGAAATTGAATATGAATTTGAAGAAATTACACTGGAGAGGGTAAGATGAAATTTATATTCCAAGTCACAATTTTGCCTCACACATTCTAGTTCCTAATTGGTTGTCTTGTAAAATCACATGATTGTGTATCATAACCTGGAAATTTCTCACGGTACTCACAGTGAAAATATTAATGGAATGCTTGCAGGCAGAGTATTGCAGCAGGAAGCCAAATAACCATAATGTTCTGAATCTACACCACATCGTAAGGACCTGGAGAAATGAATTTATAAAAAAAAAAGAGAGAAATGTTACATGAGTTTATACTTTGTTTTTTTTTTAATTATTAGTCTACTGGCTATACCTTTCTAATATCTGATGCTTTATATTCTTATTTGTGTGACATTGATGTCATCATCAGAACTGCAATTACCATGCATCTTTTATTGAGAGAGAGAGGGAGAGAGAGAGACAAATTTTAAAACTACCCACTTAGAGAAAAATAGGACAACTCTACAGAGGTCTGTGAACATTCTGGAAGGAATTTGGCAAATGCTTTAGACAAATAAAGGAAACTATGCCACATGGACCTAATATATTTAGACATTTAACAAAGGCATAAGAGAAAAGCCATAAGCTATCTAGAAAGAACAAAGTGACAAGAGGCATTAATAGAATATTTATCATTATTAAAAGGCTAATACACATGTAAAACTCTGTTAAGCAGCAATGAAAGACAATGACAGTAAGCAGATTTTCGCTCTAACTGAGAAACAAATGTAAAAGAATATTAGTATAGAGTACCAATGAATGGTGCTGAAATGAGTATAACGCTAAAAGAGCAATTTAGTAATCTGGATCAAAAGCCTGCAGAATGAGCACACTTTTGTATTTACAATTTCTATTAGTAAGAATAGACAATTACAGAAAGATTGCTCATATTAGTATTGTTTATAATGGTGAAAGATGAAAGAGGAGTTTCATAAAATATTAGCATATATCATATTAATTATATTAAATTTAATTAAATATTAAAATATATTTAAATAATATTTAACCAAACACTGAACTTGAGGATATGAGGTCTACCTAGATTGTATTTTTAAATTAAAAAAATCATGTTTTAAAAGGATATTTAAAATGTCAGATAAGCAGGGTGCTGGTGGTTCATGTCTGTAATCTTAGCTACTCAGGAGGCTGAGATATGAGGATTGCAGTTCAGAGCCAGCCCGAGCAGAAGAATCCTTAAACCTTATCTCCAATTAACTAGCAAGAAACTGGAAGTGGAGTTGTGGCTCAAAGTGGTAGAGTGCTAGACTTGAGTGAAAGAGCTCAGGACAATACCTAAGCCCTGAATTCAAGCCATACTACCAACAAAAAATGTCAAAAGTGATGGCATCGTGTTAAGAATTGTTGGATGATTTTGATTTCTTCCTTTTGAGTGTCTTTAGTCTCCACATCAGTTAGAATAAGCATATAATACATTTATAATAAGCAATAAAATATAAGTGTTTTCCCATGAACCTTCATTCAAGTATAAATTAACACTCTAGACCTTCACATTAGTTCCCAGCTCCTTTGTAATTTACTGCTTATTCGCTTTCCTGAGTCAAGGAATTTCTCATTTTCAGCTTAATTTTTATTGAGTATGAGTGTCTTTAAAAGGAAATTTACATTGGAAGTTAAGTGTTTGACAAATGAGGTCTTTAAAACTTCCATTATGGACTTTGATAAAAATTTAATGGCATACTAAATAGAGAAAACTGAAGCATATAGGAAATTAGCTCAAATGAGAGAACACACACACACACACACACACACACACACACACACACACACACACACACACTTTCTCTGTAAGATTTGTGATGTACAGCACAAAATGAAAATGTAAAAACTTCTGTTTTTCCCCCTCAAGCCAGTAAACACGTTTTCTTATCCTGACTGTATAAGTCATAAAAGAATGAGAAGCTAACATTGGTATGAGAGAAAATATTCCACAGGAGAGGGAAATTGAGGAAGCTAGTGAGGGTTCTGATGCTTACTTGCTTCCTGATCCTGAGCACTTTCTCTGATGTCTCTTGCTACTCCTAGGGCTACCAATCACCCAGGCACATGGGGAACACTGAAAGTTCCATTGACTACACTCTTTCCAAAGTCTGTTTGTCAGGCATCATCTTCTTTGACCAGTACTTCCTCTTGGTCCCTGTCATTTGTTATAATACTCCCTCCCCTAAAATTCTTCAACTGCCATTCAGACCTAGAGACTGATTTCATCATTTTCCTCCACTTTTCTCTCTACTCTATTCCAGATCTTCCCTCTACCTAGAAAATACTGCCTGGTTCATAACTCTAATTGCCCCTCTCATACACTCAGTATTTCTCTCCTCTCTCCCATTTTGTGTTTATCCAGCAAAACCTCAGACCTTCTTAATTTGACTTATTCTATGCCACCACCTCAGCACCAGAAAATGGCCAGAGAAATACTCCCTCATCACACTTCAAATTCTTAACCATTGGCTCATGAGAAACTCTGGCAATTCTTAAAATTTTCTGTAGAAAAATCTTTCTCATTCTTTGAGACAATAATTTCACATTTTATTTGTTCTCTAAAATTTCTCTTCCTTCATCTTCACTTTTAGCTGATAACTTTTCTTCAAATGTCCTTGAGAAAACAAAATCCAATCAATCAAATGGATACCACCTCATCATTCTGAGCCAGTATGTCCTTCTCAGGACAGGGAAGGAATTTTTCCACCTTCTTTATAAGACCATTCTACAATTGCAACCTGGATGTCACAAACTCTTGTTTACTTGATGACTTCATCTCTGTAATTACCTTTTTCTATATTAATTTCTCTTTTATATTTTCCTGAATACCTTTAACCCAGACATGATATAATATCTCTCTTCTTTTTTTTGAAGCAGAATAGTTTTATTTTCTTTCTTTTTTTTATTGTGAAAATACCATACAAAGGGGTTACAATTACATGGGCAAGGTAATGAGTGCACTTCTTATCAAGCATTGTTGCCTCCTCCTTTGTTTCCCCTTCCCATCCCTTCCAATACCCTTCCCCCCCCCCCATGCCAAAGTTGTAAAGCTCATTTTCGACATAACATCTTGTACATCTCATTGTTGCAATGGGTCCACCTGTATCCCTATTTAAACAATTTGTTTTTTCCCTTCCCCTCCACAAATTATACCAACATCAAATACAGTAAAAGCAGGGGTTGTACCATGGGGAAGGGACATACAAAGCAACAGAGAAATATCTTATAAATATATTAGAAACAATAGCAAGAAAGAAAAAAAAAACATTTGAGTTCTTATCTTGGGGCTCATTTCGTTTAACAACAGATGCTGGAGGGGATGTGGACAAAAGCAAAGCCTACTGCATTGTCAGTGGGAGTGTAAACTTGTTCAACCACTTTGGAAAATAGTGTGGAGGTTCCTCAAAAGACTCCACATAGAGCTCCCCTATGACCCCAGCAATCCAACTTTTGGGCATTTACCCAAATGATCACAAACAAGAACATACTAAAGCTACCAGCACAACTATGTTTATCACATTATTCACCATAGCTAAGATATGGACCCAACCCAGAGGTCACTCTGTAGATGAATGGTTCAAGAAAATGTGGTATAGCTGGACGCCGGTGGCTCACGCCTGTAATCCTAGCTACTCAGGAGGCTGAGATCTGAGGAACGAGGTTCAAAGCCAGCCCAAGCAGGAAAGTCCGTGAGACTCTTATGTCCAATAAACCACTACAAAACCGGAAATGGCTCTGTGGTTCAAGCGGTAGAGCGCTCGCCTTGAGCTAAAGAGTGCAGGGACAGCCCCCAAGCCCAGAGTTCAAGCTCCACAACCGACCAAAAAAGAAAGAAAGAAAGAAAGAAAAAGAATATGTGGTATATATAGACAATGGAATTCTATCAGTGGCATTGCCCCATTTGTTAGGAAGTGGAATATTTGGAAAAAATGATATTAAGTGAAGTAAGCCAGGCCCAAAGAAACATAGGTCCCATGGTTTCCCTTATTTGCAATAACTAGTATATGTCTGAGACAAGTAGAAATGGTCAGATAAGTTGATGTTAAGCGAAATATCTCTCTTCTTTAAAACAGTTATAAGTGTCAATGAACCCAATGTTTCTCTGCTACTATTGCTACATGAACCTAATTTACTTAATCAAGTCTAGGAAAAAATTGCATAATTAACTTCACTATATTACCCTATTGGTTATTTAACCTATTTCATGCTTATACCCTGACAGTCATCTTAAAATTATCTCTGTCAAAAAGTTATGGCAGGTTCCATCTTGTGAAGCGCAAGTATTAGTCCTCAGACCTAACTTCTCAGTAGCATGTCATCTTTCCTTCATCAAAGATGTTAAATTTTGCCTGGTGCCAATCCCTTACCCAGGAGGTTGTGATCTGAAGATTGCTTCTTGTGAGAAGACTCTTTTTAGTTCATTAGCACATTTATTAATGGAATTGTTGGTGTTTTAGGGTTTAGGTTTTTTTAAAGTTCTCTGAATCTGGATATTAGACTAAAAATATACATGAGATAAATAAAGACCCCCAAGTAGCAAAAGCAATTCTTAGCAGGCAGAAATAATTCTGGAGGGATAACAACACCAAACTTCAAATTCTGCTTTAGAGCAATAATAATGAAAACAGTTTGATACTGCTAATAAATAAATAAATAAATAAATGAATAAATAAATAAAAATAGGCCAATGGAACAGAATAGAAGACACTGAAATAAACTCTCAGACATACAGTCACTCAAAATTCAAAAGGGGAGCCAAGATCATAAGCTAGAGAAAGACAGCCTCTTCAAAAAATGGTGCTGGCAAAGCTGGGTATCCATGTGCAGAAAACCAAAATTAAATTCTTATATATCACCTTGCAGTAGCATGAATTTAAAATGGATGAAAGACCTCAAGGTAAGACGTTATAGGAAAAGTAGGGGGAAAATTAGGGCTCCTAGGCATAGGTAGAAACTTTCTAAATAAACATCCATGAGCAAAGCAAAGCAAACAAAAACTTGGTAAATGG